ATTGACGATTTTTTCTTAACTCCCAAAAATCTTCAAACAATTTGCTACCGATTGGTGCTAAAATTTTTTGGAAATAATGAAATAACGCCTTTTTTTTCAGGGGTGATTTTTCAAAAATTTATTTTAAAAAAAGTACTAACTAGCAAATGTTTTTTATTAGCTCGCAATTTTCTTCAAAACTACTTCAATGAGGAAAAAAATAAAAATTTGGAATATCTATACATGAGGGGCTAATTGATCGGATCTCCTGCGAGCATCTCATTGGCATCTAAAGGGTGACTAAATACAGAATCAACATTCACTTGGCGAAGAAATTAGCTTTTGGCGAAAGTCAACTTTCTCTGTGACAAAATCCAAGATCTACCCCTGGGAAAATGAATTTTTTTTATTTCGACTGAATGAAAAATAAATCATGTCAGGCCGAAACTTGACATTAAAAAATTTACATTTTTGAAACCTTGCTAATTAATTGGAGTGAACATCTCACAATCGTCCAAAGTTCCTCATTACATCGAAGAGATGCCATCATGCCATGAAGGTGTTATCAGTGTGTCCGTTATTAATTGTTCAATCGAGTAAATTAAAATAACGCGATAGACAGTGGGAAATTGAGATGGATACGGGGACTGTGTTAATAGAGGGTAATTAACCTGAATACACGTTGTCTCCTTGATGTTAATACCATGACCGGGACACTCCCATATCCACGCCATCGAGAGCATTAACGATGTAAAGTTTATGTAACCGGGAAAAAAGAGGAGCAGGTGGAATTCACCCTATTCCAACACGCCGTCTGGTAAAGTGAGATTACAGGGGTGAAATGAAAAGTTCTTAATAATCCAGGATTTTACGTATTTCAATTCACGCTCAAAACACATTACTATCTCTGGAACGCACCAGTGTCTGGGGTATGAACTCGGCTAGGATGAAAGGAACGAATGATGAGAGCAGAGCGATAACACAATTTTCAAAATGAAAAGGCGAGCCAATGGTGAAGGCATGTAGACTTCACATAGCTTTCGTTATAACGCTGGCACACATTAGTGTGTAATCGCCGCACTTGTTCTAATTAAATTCATCATCCTGGGAATTTCTTCCACTATATTTTGACGAGAATCAAGGAAAAAAGCTCTGGATTTTATGAATATTAATCTGGAGAGAATGAGGGGATTTTGATATTTAGTCGGGATGGTAATATAGATTTTGCGAAGTCCTTCGTGGAGCGAAATGCCATTTCTTCAATTCAGCATATTGCTAATTTATTAGCAAAAATAACTATAGTATATGCAATATAAGAGCAATTTCCCACTTGTTTTTTTCAGATTGTTAAAATGTTTTCTAACGTTTCAATATCGAAATTAAAATGCAGAGCTGCATAATTTAAGTAATAAAATTATTGAAAACCTGACAAAATCAGTTAAAAAGAAATTTTATTCAATTTAATCAAATTAAATAAACAATGAATTATACATGATGGAAGGAAATGATGTCTAAAATACCTATTCGGAAGCATATTGCCAATTTATTAGCAAAAATAACTATAGTATATGCAATCCGAGAGCAATTTCCCATTTATTTTCTCGGATGTTGGAAATATTCCTGCGTCTGTCAAAGAAACGTCAATGCAATGAGAACCGACTCATCAGTTTCCGGAAAATATCTAAAATTATCTCAACATCCATCTTCTGAATATTCCAATGAGCAAACTATTCCCCCGTACATGATGAAAATACGCGGAGACACATCACACTCAACCCTAAAGACATTACGATCGAGGATTTTAACATCGGGGGGATGATTCCGGTGACTCACCAAACCGGAAAGCTCCATGACTCCCTGGATGCTGTATGAAAAGGGAAACAGAATACAGTTGCGTCATCTGCTTTATGTGTCACCGCGTAAGAATTCCGGTGAAGCGAGTACTTCTATTCTCCGCAAATCACCAGTGGCGTAAATACAATAACGCAATAAATTTCGTCATAATCCCCCATTGAGCTAGTTAAACCGAGGGTTTGAACACTTGAATAGGAAACCACCCGCTGCAGTTAAGATTACAGGGAATAACGATCCCTCTAACTAGCAAACACTGCATTGTTTATAGGTGTAAGGCGCAATTAATTTTCGGCTGGGTGAATACTATTATTGCAATATCGGTACCCTGATAAGGACAGACATGACATAGGGGTATTTAAGGGGCGACCGCGGTGAAATTTGCAAGTCGTCGG